CACAGACTCTCTGGAGGTCTCTCCCAAGACCGGCTTCTTTTCTTCCCTCCTGCAGTGTCAGTCTCTAGGGGGAGGGCATGGACCGTTTGGTGCTGAAGTAGAAGCAGCCACGGCGGCGGGGAAAGCAAAGCTTCTTTGCCAACCTCCCAGCTGGCAAAACATAAATTTTCACCAGTTCAGTGGGCATGGCTACATGGGGCTAGATATTAGTCCTTCCAGGTAGACCAGTGCTTGAGAGGCAATGTGAGGATTGAAGAATGTGTAGAGGTGTGTGACTATGAGGGAGGCATGGTGGGGCTGGAAAAGGAGAAGGGAAGGTGTGTGAGGAAGGTGTGCTAAGGGTGTACAGGGACAGTATGTGGGAGTGCACGAAAGCATGATGGAGGTGTGGTAAGATTTGGGGAGTGTGCAGGGGTGTGTTTGAGGGAGACATGGCAAACTTTATGGAGGGTGCATTGATGGCAGGGGAGGCAAGGTGTTTCTCGGGGAGAGGCACAAAAGGGGCATGACAAGGGTCAGTGAGATTATGTGGCAAAACTAAGAGTGGGTATACAGGGCTAACTAAATAGGGGAGGAGACAAGGAAAAACTTAGGGAGGGTAGGTGGTGGTGCACAAGTGGCTGGCATGACTTGAATGCAGAGAGGCTGGGCAGGGTGCACAGGTGGGGGAAACTTACACCAGAGATTTGTACGCTTCCTTGCCACCTTTCCCATTAACTTTCTGGGGAAGCCAGCAGGCTTCACAAATGGCATTCATGTGATGGGCACTGGATCCAACTAAGTGCAAACAAGTTGCCAAGAAACCAGCTTACAATCACATAATCACAGGATGGCCAACATCCAAAGGACCACCATTCATTCAGTACCATCTTAATTTCAAAAAAATCATGTTTTCATATGTTTTATAGTTTTAATATGTCATTTTAACTTTTGATTGAGCTGCCCAGAGTTGATTAGAAGATGGGGGAGCGGGGCTATATACATGTTTTAAATAATTAAGTAAATAAGTTACTGCATGAGCAGTACTGTGTCAAGGACTACCTCCATTATGTCGAACCTATGGCATGTGTGCCCAAAGTGGCACATGGAGCTATGTCGCCAGGCATCTGTGACATCGCCTGTTCCTCTTTTGGGCTTTTGGCACACATGCGAATGCGACGATTAGCTAGCCTTTGTGCATATGGCAGTGCTGGAAACCAGAACAGCTGGTGTTCTGTTTTCTGGCGTGAGCATGCGCGCCGGCCAGCTGATCGTCATGTGCGCCTGCATGGCAGTAACCGGAAGACTTGCTGGCCGGCATGCATATGCGTGACGCAAACTAAACGTTCATTTTCTAGCGCATGCATGCCCCCTGGGCAGTTCCTCTTCCTAGTCACGTCCCAGATGAGCTATCTTTTCAGTTCTCAGTGCCGCGTTCGTGCACGCACACACACTCCCTTTTCAGCACTCAATGCCTAAAAGGTTCGCCATCACTGGACTACCCTATAAAACAGCATTCTAGTATTGTCTAATATTGGTCAAGATTTTTGCAACTTTAAACATGTTTAATTATATAATTCCTTAATACATATTGAATTTTCAAGTATTTCTACTCTCACCGTTTATCATTTCCTGATCAACTTACTAAACATCTTTGCCTCACAGAAAATAGGCCAATTTTACTGATGTTTTGGGGAGCAGAAGCAGTCACATTGCCTCATTGTCAGTATAACTCTACAATCAACTTGAAGCCAGGAGTTCAAATCCAGTAACTATCCATATCTACTTGGAAATTTGGTACTTTATAGGAATTTATGATGATAATTTTAGGAAAGGATTTATTTGCCCTTCTAAATCCCCAGCCTTTGCACCCATATTGTTCATTACTAGAGGATAATTCTTTGAGGAATGTGTATGGTTATAGGTTCATATAATATGACCATTAAAGATCACTCTCCATTGCTTTGCTTTTCAGATCTGCTGGCTGGCTTCAGGAGACATTCATTTTCAAAATTGGAATTGCTTACAATTAAATCATTCATATTTAATTCATATATGGAAATTTTTAATACAAAGTAATACCGTTTTGCTTAATTGTGGGAAGATTCTTTTCAAATTCAAATATGAAGTATTTTCTGATATGTGTAAATATTTGTGTACATACTGATCTTTTTCAGAAGGCCCATGTCAGCACAAGACTCTTTTCAAATACGTGTTACAGTAACTCTGTAAACATAGAATTTTTGCTAAATTGGAAAAGTGAGATTATTTTGTCTAGCATTTTTGAGCTTCACAAATTCTTATAAAAAGTTCATTCCTAATTTTCATCCCTACTGAAGTGTCCTTGTACAGGGCACAAGGGTTTTTGTCTCAAAGAAAGAATGCATGTTCAAATGGTTTAACGAAGAGCAAGCAGTTTCAGAAAGTGAAAGTCCTTTTCTATTCACAATTGTTGCTTAAACATCGAGATCACTCCCATCCTTTTGTGATGCAAGCAGATGCCTCAGATTTTGCATTAGGAACTCTTCTACTTGCAGCAAGATATCTCCTGCTGTGTGTATTGTATTCCTAATTGCTTCTCCCAGCTGAACAGAACTAAGATAATAAAGAGTTGCTTGCAATAAAAATTGTGTTCTTGATGTGGCAGCACAGATTACAAGAATTTGGAAATTTTGCAAAAGGAATACTCTTTGCAAAATACCTCATCAGATCAGGTTGGCACAATTGGTTTTCCATTTCAGTTTTTAGATCACTTATATGCATGCCTCACCAAATAAATGACCAGGTGCACTATAATATAAACTGAACATCAATTTCAATACTTGTCCCTCCCTATATAATCCTGCAGCCAAGCAATTGTACCCTCCCCAGAATTACATTCTTCAAAAGGTTGTAGATCTGTTATATTGAATTAGAGTGCAAGACCAGGAAGCATATGTCAAGGCTTAGATGGATGACCTTGAGAGAGATCACTGAGTCTTCACCTTTCTATATAAATGATGGGTAGTAGTTCCATAATGAACATTTACCAGTATCTATTCCCTTTTCTTTAAGGGGAGAGGTATTGTATCTATGTCATAAAGGATGTTTCATGTTGTCATGTATGTTGTCAGTCAAACATAGTTCAGGGATAACTGGATGATTTGTTCCTCCAATTGTACCATGGAATTTCATTTCGCTAGATTTTATCACCCTTGTTTCCCATTTTCAGGGATTTACATCCATTTTGTGGTGGAGGATTTATTATACTAAATGGTTCATTTCATTCCATATAGGCCTTCCTTTACCTCAGGTAACTGCAACTTTATTTTAGACCATGCTTTCAGTTGAAAGAACTGTTACAGAAAGTGAATTAATTATGATACGCAGGGGAATTAATTGTGTAATAGATAAAAACTACAAATCAATCATAGCTATTGAGTAGTCCACATTTTCTTGGAATCAGAAAATAACATACTTTTGAAAACATAAAAAGCTCAGTTGCATGACTGCAGACATAGTGATAAAATCCTCTTTGTCACCATAACATCCCAAAGTAGGATTGCAAATAGGCTCACTTGATTGACTATATTCAGTCAGACCTGTTTGCTATCACATTTGTTTCATTCATCATCACACTCATTTCATAACCCAAGCTTTTGGTAAAATAGAAGTGCTGGTTAGATTCTGCTAAAATAAAAAATAATACTAAGAAGCATTTCTGTCAACTACCAAGCCTATTTTTCCATGCAGTAACAAAACATATTCAAAGAAATCACCATCAAGATGACAAGGAAAAAAATTCAAAAGAATGAAAGCCATTTCAATCCTTTAGTCTTCCAGCAGATCACTTTGCCTAGGATAACACACAAATGTGTGTGTGTGTGTGTGTCCGTGCGTGCGTATGTATGCCTGCAAACACACATATAGATGCTGAGGTTTATCATGCCATTCGAATTTTCATCTGACATTTATAATTTGTCATTTATTGGATTTCTGTGGCATCCCACCAAGAAATCTTTTACATACAACTTAGCATTAAAATGGTCAGACATAAAATACACAAGTTCCCCAAAGCAACAATGATTTTTACCTGCATAGCACTTTTGCCCATCTTCACAACATCAAACAAAGTAACAGGATCCCCTTCTCCATTCTGCTGAGGATGGCCATTAGCTCTTCCTCGACCTGTTCCTCTAATTCCAGTTTCAGAGCGAAACTTCTCTCCTGGAGTCTTTCGAGGCTTCTTATTGGCAGACTAGGAGATAGAATATCAGGAGAGACAGCCTTGGGACTCTTACATCATACTTAATATATTATGCTTTTACAAATGCTAATTTGAAAGAACAGTAAAAAGTTCTCAACATATAAGTCAACAGATTTCAATACAATTTTTACAGTAACATTATTCTTATCTAAAGGGCAGAAGACTTCAATAACTTTTCAATGTACTTTATATTTTATATCCTAAAATATAAAAAATAGTTTTTAAAAAGAAATCCAAAGCATTGAACAAAATGGTGTAATCCAAAATTTAACAGAGGCACTGAACTAAAAATGCAGAGGGATAACATTTTTGTGTAAAGGAGGGGATTACAGTTTACAAGATTTACTTAGCATTTAGTTAAAAGGCTCTAATGTTAGCTCACTCACACACAGACACTGCAACTCCAACATTCTTTGTGGGGGGAAAAAACCTCATAGTCATGCCTAGTCCAAATCAGCAGGTAGGTAAAATTAGTTCTAAGCTCTGTAAATCAACTGCTGACTCATATCCAAACAACAAATCACACTAACAAATGGATAGCAAATAGGCAACTACAAAGGTAAAACTGTGTATGGGATTCTTTAAAAAAATGAAATAATTTTATCTATCAGCTTCTCCTTGTTCTCAAAATCAAAAATGTTGATTTAGCTTAGGATCAGTCCAACCTGGCAGGTTAGGTTAGAGATGTGTAATATTCTGATGCCAAGTGGAAAATTTCCAGGAAAAATAGCGGGATTGAGACAATGTTAGTTTAGGATTCACCTTGCTTGCAAATAACCCAAACAGGCCTAAATATACACAGATGTGATACTGTTACTGTGAATATTAAGTGATGGTTTATGTAATAAACATACCTTTCATTGTAATGTGTTACTTTACTTGGTAAATGATGACTTTAATAGAGATTGAGAGGAAACAAAGCAGAAAATACTGGGAAAATTGAGAAATTAAAGATACTGAGAGAAGTTTGAAAGATCTAACTCATCTGCACTCAGTGTGAGCCATTGAGAGCATGGTATCCCCAAACGGTGACCAATTCAGAGGTGGATTGCATGAGAATTGCAAAAGCAGCTAGGGAAAGTCAGGAAAATGGGTCATAACCATCACTAAACATTCAAGTGGCAATGGAAAGTACATAGGAACAAAGGAATTGGTGCTGAATTTCAGGACTTTGGCCAGTTGTGGCTGAAGTTTATGAAGAGAAGGCAGGAATTTGTTGACTGTGACAAAGCAGAGAGCATGATATGCTGCTTGAGAAACACCTACTATTGCTTACTTCTTGTTATACCAGAAGTCATTATTAAGAAACTGGAGAAACAGATGAGTCAAAGATGAGTGTATTAAATTGAGAGCCAGTTTGCTCTAGTGGTTAAGGCACTAGGCTAGAAAATGGGAGACTAAGTTCAAGTCCTGCTTTAGCCATGAAAGCCAGCTGGTTGACTTTGGGCAGTTCTCCTCTTCCAGGCCACCTCATACTTGTTGCTGTGGGGAACAAAGGCAGCAGCTTCCAGATACTTTTCAAAGGTACCCCATGTACAGCACACTGCAGTAACCCAAATGAGAGATAACCAAGACATGGCGACTGAGAGAATTCCCAAACCAGGAAAGGGTACAACTTGTGCACAAAGTTCACCGAAGGCCTTCCTAGCATTGCTGCCACCTGCTCCTACAAGTAGGAATCATGAGTCCAGGAGAAGTCCCAAATCACACATCTGATTCACCTGGGGTTGTGCAAACCCATCTAAGACCAAAGATGGCAATCACCAAGATATAGAAATTTGAGTAATTTTCTACAGTAACTGCCATGCTCTGGAGCACACTACCTCAAAAGTTATATTTGAGGTAGTGTACTACAGAGCATGGTAGCCCTCTCTTTCTATACGTTTCACAAGACAATATAAACAATATAATTTTACAATTTCTTCTGTCCTGCCTATATTTGTTCATGTTGTATATATCAAACTTATCGTTTTATTTTTTAATGTTATGTATTGTTCATGCTTTGCTCTCCAACCAATCTTAATTAAGAAGATTTACAAATACTATAAACAAATGAATTAACTGTCTAGTAAAATCAATAATATTAACATGTATATATGATTGGTCTGGAGTCAGCTATTTAATCACTGCAATTACTGTACATGTCTCACATTTCCTGCACCTGTAGCAGCAGCAAAAAATACAACACATATAAAATAACACTTGTAATTTGTAGTTGCAATGTAACATTAAAATTTCAGAAATACATCATAAGACAGCAGAGATATAACTTATTTAATTAAATACTAGTAATAGGTTTTACTAAAAACCTATTTACCTGCATATAAATGAAAAATGGGAATAGCTATTGAGTAGCTTCCTCTTATGCATGCTCTGTATAACCAGGCATGGACTTCATTCTGAATCAATTAAGTTTTTGAACGTTCTTCAAAAGCAACTTCATGTATTAAATGCAACTAAAGTATTTTCCTGTTACTATACTATATCACTGCTGACTATGATGTCCCTGATTCAGGGTTGAATAAAGGAATATTCTGACCTGCATTAAGTTAAAGATTGTGAGCATCATAAGCACAGTTAATATACAAATAATGCAAAATACTGTGATCATGCCTCCAAAGTATCCAATGAATAGCCAGCAAGTTCCATCAGAAACCTACAGCCAAATTAGTGCTAGACAAGAGGGCAAAGATCAGAGTTCTGATCCTATCAAGTAATTTCCACACCAGGTAATCCTGTTAAGCAGTCATAATTCAAGGCACATAATACTAACCAATCACATATGTTCACAGAAATAAGGCAGTCTCAAGAAGACTAGCCAAAAGGCTGAAGTAATTACTGTAAAGTATTATTGTTTCATGCAACCATTCTCATTCTGTTTGCTGGAGTGCTCTGCTTTAAGGTTCTGTATGCCCCAATGTTCAAAAGCAAAATACTGTTTCAATGTCTCCAATGAAAGCCTTAATGAAAATAAGCTGATTGCACAAAAGACCATCCATCAACACTAACAGACAAACCACCAGAATATAAACTGACAGCAAACTGCACTCCTTACTGGCACTCATGATGTTACTTAGTTTGGGTAATGAAACATCTGCAAGAAAATGAGCAAGCTGAGAGCACCAAGGACCCCTAATGTCAACCCTGTTACAAATATTCTCCTTTATTAGTACTACTAGAAGCATATTACACAGGATGATGAGTTTTGCCTTTGTTGGTACACAGTTATCTTGCAGGATCATATTCTCCAATTAGAATTAACCCTAATTAAGTTAACCTAGGAAAAAATGCTGCACTTCAATGGTTTATTTAACTGATTCCCACTATGGAATAGCACAGCCTACCAATGACATGCTAAATCTTCTCTACATGTTATTTGCCAAAGACTGCAAAATCATGGATTTTATCAATCATCTCACATAAACTTTATCATACTGATAAACTTCTTTTATGTAGTTGGGTCACAAATGATGCGTTGGACTATGGAAATCTGATGTAACAGACTTCTAAACATGGAGAGAGATATAATTTATGAAAACCAGATTAAAAAAACTAGAGCACTGCAAGAGACAGAAGGAACGTTGGACTTACTTGTGCTGTGAGAGAGTCCAAGCATGGGTTAACCTCTATCTA